ATTACAACAGCAAAAGTGAAAGGCATTTCAGTCGTAAAAAATTATTCTGAAACGAAATGGCTGCCAGAAATGGAAAGAGCTGATAAAATTAGTATGACTACTAATATTAGACCATTGTTTTGAAGTTTTAAAAATTAGAGCACGATTTGCAAGGGAAAAAGGCAAGCTTTTCCCCAAGCATCCTTTACTTTTCTCACACATGTACTTTCAAAACATCAATGATCATCGAGTTCAATGGTCTCAAAATTGGAAGCATTACTAACTTCACACTCTTTCTATTTCTGGCGCACCGTTCGTTCCACGATGAGGTCACTTGATAGCAACATTCAGTTTCAGTACTCAGAGAGCCTGGAACCTATATAGCTATTCGCAGGAAACTGAGGATGCCTGTGGTGAAGAAACAAGAAATTGTTACTCTAAGCAATGTGGGGAAACGTCTTCAGCCATCCTTGAAAGGTCAGGCAATTCTTGCCACGATGCCCAAAAAATTGATAAACAAAAGCAAGCGAAATGAAGGATGCAGTGAAAGGTTTTCGTACAATTTTAGCATTTCAATTTTCTCACCTCGGAAAGTATGAGATCGGCTGAGATGAAAGACTGTACTAGCAGTTGTTGAACCTGAGCGATTTTCACAGACTCGTCCTTCTCTGTTATGATCTGATAGAAGAATGCTCCTTCTCTGTCCTTGACTTGTACATCTCGAGGTCTATGTTTACAATGATAATGAATATATAGAGCAGTTTTCACTTGAGTGTCAAAAGCAATTCACCTTTGCTTTGTTCTACAAAGACCCCATCTTGAATATGAGAGCATTAAAAGGGATCCACATTCACAAAAGCAAATTTAGCTCAGAAATTGAAAACATTCTCTCTCTATCAAGTATATACTAGCATTCTATCACAACTGCCTAGTAGTGTGGGTTATTGACAAAAATGGAGGCCACTTCTCTACGCTTTCCAGATGTCTGTAAAGAGGATATACATGTACATGATTTTATAGCCGAGAGTAGACTTTATGTATTTTACATGTAACTGTTATCATGATTTGTATCGTCCGGTTTCCCTAACAAATCGCTGATACTGATTTTTGCAGCTGGGTGGAGAAACACACTGAAAGAATAAATTGTCTTCCTTGAGGACACTGACGATACTTAAACCCTGGACCTCGAACAGTACGCTTAAAACACATCAGTAACTACTTTTTAACCGAGAGTCAGGTCTTTACAGGAAAGTCTCAAACCGAGACCTTGCCGTATTGACTGAGCGATAGCGAGGTCAATACAGAAAGGCCGAGGTTTGAGATTTTCCCGCAAAGACCGAACGTTCGAGGTTAATAAGTTGTTTATTATATGGCTTTTTGCTTTGCTTTTGTAGGCCCGTAATAGGCCCGTGGGCATTACGGGAGAATAATGCCCTAGAATTAGCCAATCAGAGCACGTGTTATATCAGCTGCAAACACAAGCCATATAACAAGACAGAGTAGAGCACAAGATATCATTACGAAACAAATTCACAGACTAAGATAGATTGCAAAATCTTACTTCAAGTGAAGGAATGGATCAGCCTTCAAGACTTGCTGTAGAAGAGAGTTTAGAAACTCCTCTGGGTCTGATCAGGGTAAAACAAACAAAAAACGCATTAGAATGTGAACTTCAGATTCTAACCTCAGTGAACAGAATCTGATTGGAGATTTGAATATCTCAAAGGCTCTTGCTTCAATTGCTTGCACACTGCAGAGATTATTTCATTCATTTCATGTTTCAAGCACAGTTCACTTCTGTTCACTTCAGTTCACACCACATCCCTGTTACACCCAAGTTGTACATACAGTACACGTGAGTATAAGTAATCGTGTGAATGTGAGTACAATAAAGGATTTACACTAGTAGTGACATGAAAATTTTCTCAGAATCGCACGAGCTTCAAGTTGCGTTCAATTCGAAAGAATTTTGAAATATCACGAGTTGTGTAAATCCTGAATTGCCCAAGCAAACACTGCTGTGTAAATTATGAAAATTAGCGATAAATTTGCCTGCTCTCAGCCAATCACAGTGAAGTAATCTTCTTGGTAATATAATAATACAAGAAAACCACGTGATCAGTCGTGTTGTGGCTATTCGTCGTGGTATGTCATCAGTTTGAAATCTCTCAAGCCGGGAAAAATAATTAATCAATATGTACAGTGAGTACTAGTATAGTATAGTATAACTGATATTTATTTTTTCTATGGTAAAGCACCTTTTTCCTCATTCACTAATCCTGCAGTTGAGCTGAGTTTGTCTAACAGCTCTCTCAACAGGAGGACACGGTCTGCACGTACAAAGCCATGCCTACAACAAAACGAGTAGTACGAAAAATTACTTCAACATAATTTGAGCAACACAAAATAAAAATTCCGGCAATTTCAAGTAGTGATATTTCTTTCAAAACTAAAATGGAAAGACAAGTCAAAGAGATGCCTTCAACACGACATTGCGCTAAGCTTTCAGTCACTGCTGTAAGGATTGGAAAATCTCATGATACAGACACTGTCAAGAATGTTACTTAGTCAGTTAGTTAGCTAGATTGTTACTTAGCTAGTTAGTTAGGTAGTTACTAGATAGTTAATAAATTGCTTGTTAAATGATTAAGCTTTTATATATTCGTACATTTTATTTTCATGATGGGTTGACTAGCACGTATGGTTCGTCAGTTCCCTTCTAGTCTTCCTCACTGCCTTGTTATGTACTAAGATTTTTTTCATTAATGTGGTTATTACAATTATTATTAATATTATTATTCTTATTATTATATTATAATATCGTTTATGATTTTTTTTCTTTGTTATATAGTCGCAGTGAAATTGAACAAATTAAATTAAGAAGAACTTGTTGTTTGTTGTGTAATTGTGTATATGCATCGTCATTACAAATTTAATTATTAAACCTTCACTTCTTCCACCCTCTCTCCCTCCCTCTCTCCCTTCCTTCCATCAATCCATGACTTTTTCTGTCACCAACCTTAAAATGTGTACCTCCTCCTAGCCTGCGTAGCTTGGCGGTTTAAGAAATTTGAGCGTGCTAAGAAAGCCGTCAAACTACGCAGGCTAACCTCCTCCATGCTCACTTCTTTCTTTCCTTCTTACTTACATTTGCTTCTTAATTATTCATAATTCAATCCTTATTAACTTACACTCTTAAAGGATTTACAATGCACTCTCTCAACACTGTCTGTACGTTGTCATATTCTTCCAGATCGCCATCTTTCCTCTGACGATGCAACAGAGTGTCAAATACGCTTGAGAAAGCAAACATGCTGTACAGTGTGGCATCAAGGTAGCACGAGTTGTGGTGACCCTGGAGACCTCGCATGGTGCCGCACTGTATTTTCTCGAGGGTCTTTGGTGGCACCGTTATACCTTTGACCTCTGGAGAAGGCACACTTCCAAAGGCTGAAATGAAGCAACCAAAAAACTGTCAAAACCGCTGCTAATGTACAGTATACTTTGAAGAGGTTTCACATCAAAACTTAAATCTAGCATACCTTGCATGTACACTACAGTGGAACCCGCTCAATGAACACCCACTTAAATGTCACTATGGACAGTTTTTTGGCCCCATAAAAAGCTCACAATTATAAATTCTCACATTAGCCTGCTTAACGACACTAGTTCATACGGACAACGGACACTTTTCTGTGGCCAAAGTGGCCTGCTTTCATATGAAATTAATCTTGCTTGTCACAAATTGGTTATCTGCGCACTGCATATTTTCATATGTTGTGATTGGGTATCAATTTGTTCCCTGTTATTACGCATGACAAATTCCATGAGGTTGTGGTTTTATTAAAGCAAAAGCTTCTGTTTATAGCTACAGACATTTCAGTGATTACAGTGACACATTTTAAAAACATACATGTAAACCTCGAGTATTAGACATTGCATGAGCATAAGGTTTTTCTGAGTTTGAACTCAAATTACAGCAAAGCCTTTAGACATCATTCTGCCATGCTCAAATTGCCTTTACATATTTGTCAAAAACATGTGCCCGTGACGTTATTCTGAGAGCCTGCGTAATACAGGCACCCATTGGCAGGTAATACAGACACTTAGGCATGCCTCTTTAGTGTCTGTATGACCGGGTTCCACTGTAAACTAACCAAACAAAGCTGTTGCTATATGGTCACTGAATGCCAAGTGATCACTACATTAGGCTCGAATACCAGCTGCTGTTTGGGAAAGGAGTCCGCGCTCCTAACCTGAAGGCTCACGTGTCCAACCGTCTCGTCTCAGGGAGGAATGTAGATCGGACACAAGAGAGCGGCGGAAATCGAGCCTAACACTACATGTACCTTTTTCAGCATCAAAACTTGTATCGTTGTTTGGTGTGTTGGGACCAAAACGTGAGTCTTGTCGGCAATGCTTCAGTAAAGTGAAAAAACCTCTTCCTGCAGGGCACTTGAAGTATCTCACTCCATTAAATGTGCCATCTGAGCATGCAGACTGTTCCTCTTCCTTTAAAGGACATAAAATTACCAGGTTGATAACTGTTACTGATGCTCACCATAAAGCTTTGTACCACCACCCCTCAGACTCCTTCTGATCAGCTACTTTTGATGGGGTCACTACTTTCAGGGTGTCACTACACAGTTAAAATGTGTTTTGTATCATTCCCTCTCATCAAATGCATCATCATTTCAACTTTGAGGACGTACAAGTGTACACACAGCCAGCACATTACATGAACAGTCGAAACGTATACTAAGTTATTTGCAATTTTAAGCACATGGTAAGTAAAGTGAATTTTTAGCTGTAAGCATGACATGGAAAGAACAGATTTATTCTTGTGTTGTTCACTACATAAAAACAAAGAGCTTTCTGCAAAGACTTGCAAAATGTTATGTTTGTTGTAGCTATTATTGACCATTGTTGTGTCACAAACAGTCAAGTTAAATTTGACGTCACTGTTTTCGAGGCTTGCTACTTTTTGGCAGTTCTTAGCAAATTATGACTAAACTTTATTGCAATGCCCCTCCTTTCCCAGATGAGAGAAGGAATTAATTATCAAGAAGTGACCAGGAGTACATGTATTTCTACTCCCCTCTGGATGGGATGCTAGTCCATTGCAGGGTTGTCCCCTGGCATTACATTTGCCAGAATCCATTTATACACCTGGGTGGAGAGAGGCACTGTGGGAGTATAGTGTCTTGCCCAAAAACACAACACAATGAACACAACAACGTTCCCAGCCACACCTCGAATCTAGACCGCTTGATCCAGAGTAAAACGCACCAACCATGAAGCCAGTACACCTCCACATTGTCACAATATGTGATTTGTGATAATCGGTATTGACATAAATTAATATTTTGCCAACACGGAACAGAGAACTGGGTGCAAGCGCAGTACGCGAAGGCTCGTGGGTAGTACGTTTGTAAATAGGGACAGTTGAGAAACTTGTGACATTTTACAGTCAGCCTTGCCACTAGCTGACTAGCACTTTCGCATGAGGTTTGTTTTTATTGTGTAATTATATGATTTGTTTTTCATTCTGTTGTTTATAGATCAACCTTAAAAACCCAAAGGTGGTGCCAATGCATTTGGTCAGGGGTACACGATCCCTATCTTTCCAAACGAGTTTTTTGGGGTTAACGTGTCCGGCTTTGGCGCATGTAGGATGTTACGTGATGTATCTCTTATCCACTTTGTTGTAAGCTTATTGTCGCAATTAAAACATATCTTGGGCCTGGCTGACCAATGTGCCCTTGGACCTGGCTGACCAACACGCCCACACTTCAACCTTTGAGCGTGTTCGGTTGGGTAGTGAAGGCAAAATACCAGAGCGTCAATCTCCTATTTTAAATTCTTACCAATTCTAGACCTGCAACCAGCTTATCCTTCACCTGCAGAAGCTTTCCAATCCAACGAATAACACCATATCGAGGAAGACCTTCTGCCATAGGAACCTCTACCATGGAACCCAGTTCCAAACCATGGGGAATGTCAACTGTTATTTGAGTGTCCTCAATACCTGGATGAAAAATTAACAAAAAAAGGTCAGTAGTTTGGTCAGCCTGAAAAATTAAATGTTGATTATCCCAGCCACTGATCAGTAGTCAAATTTTCTTACATACATGTACAACATAGATTGTATCACTAGGGATAATTTCTTTGAGGAGTAGTTATGAGAATGTCATGTTAGCATGTCAGGACATACATTCGTGGGAGTGCTAAATGCTCTGAGATGTAAGGTTTACATTTGATGGCAGCACAAAGTCTCAGAGTAGCTTCTTACTTATTGTAATGATCAACACCACAGGACCTTGACAGGTGTGCTTACTTAAGACTGGTTTTCACAAGCGATGGAGTGTTAGTCGGAACTTGTCGTAATCAGAAGTGTAGAGCGATAAAATCTAGTGAAAATCATACCGACAGAGTCGGCAGCAGAACACCGCATCTGCTTATGACTCTGTCACTTACGATCCAGCGAAAACTAGATGGCTGGAGTCCGAAGCAGAAGCAGAAGAATAAACCAATCACATTGCTCAAATCTGGACCTTATGATTGGTTGGTTCTTCCATTTCTGCTTCCTACTCCGACAATCTAGTTTTCACTGGATCATGAGTAACGGAGTTGTAAACGGAATCAGAAGAAATGGAAACGTTCCGATTCCTCCAACTCCGATTCCGTCGAGACTCCGCTTACGACTCTGATTTTCGATTTCACTAGGTTACAAGTGCTCTTATGACTCCATCTATGGTTCAAACTTCGACTCTGTTGCCAGTGAAAACCAGCCTTAAGAATATTATGGGGAAACAAACCCAGAATACATGTGTTTTGTTTATTGTTGCTAAAACTGAACTGACTGTTGTCTAGTAAGAATCTGGTTCCTGTAACCTGTACCTAAGTTCTCAGATTACAGCTGGCTTGTAGCTATATAGCTATATGGCTTGTGGGTAAATGATAATATATGCCACGGTAATTAGTTTGTAACATTGGTTTCATGATGGTGAATACCTGTGTATAACACAAACCTCTGTTTTTGCCAGCTGCTAAATTATCTTCTGAGTGTAGGACAGCTGTTTCCATTTCTCGCTGCTCTGAAGGTTCTTTGGATGTAATGGCATCTTCTGTTCCCTCCCTCGCTTTCAAGCTAGAATCTGACACAACTTCATCTGCTAATGATGGCATTCTATTTCCACCCGAGCCTCCTTCTGCACGCATTTCCTCATTGCCACATCTGTTTGGATATACTGTAGAAGTTGTGGAATTCTGCAAAGTTCCTTGTGTAACCACCTTGGAATCTTCTGTTGATAAAATTACCATAAAGCTCCATTTAACCCAAGAGGTGTTATATATTTTTCAGTGTCTAAAAATATATTTTGCATGATTTTAAAGATTTTGCTGTTAAGGCCCCCCTCCCTGCTATGTCCCTGCCCCCCAATCTTCCTCTACATCTACAACCCCTCCCATGCAAAGTTATAACCTACATGTCGATGTAAATACATGACTGTACGCAACTCCTAGGCAGATGGACAGTTTTCAATCTTGTACACCTCATTTCCTTTTTTTCACACACTAGTGTTAAAAGCACCACAGGCATTGTACCAGGCATTTAATGAACTTTTTATCCACACTCAGATTTTACTTCAATTAATCTCCACAACTTTTAGTGGCAATGACAGATCGGTTGCTCAAAGTCTAGGAAATTGCTCACTACTATTTGGTTGCTTAAGAAGATTTTTGACAACAGGAAAATGATTTAGCTTTGAACCCCATGTTGGAAGACGAAGAAAGAAGGACTCACCTGGTACTACTGGAACGTTTGCAAATAAATTTTTCTACCTTCTAAAAATGTAGACTAAATTTTAACTGCCCTGGAGAGTGGGGGCAGGGGTAAAGGTAGAAGAATCTTGTTTTGAGGATGTGGATCAAAATTTAAAGTGGCTCAAAACAGTTTTCTGTTTTTTGAGACTTATAGAACTAGGTGCGGTTTTTCAGGCTTGGAACTGTACTGTTTGCAATGGCTGTGCTATTTGTCTTAAAGGTAACTCTCCACTGTGTTTAAGTCATAAATTAAGGTTGCACTGTCCTGTTGCATAGCAACAAACTTGACCCACTTTTTACCATCAGTTGCATCCATCGCAAAAACTAAGCCAGTGACCCCATATTTTTTTTTATAAAAATCTTATTACTACACACAGAAGAAGAAACAGACAAAATTATAAAAAATTCTGTGGAGTGGAAGGTACAGCAATCACCTTTGCCACATTGAAAACAGAAAAAGCAGGATGGCTGTCCACAATAAAGAAGCATAACAGTCTAATGGCAGTTAATAAAGTGGGCCTATGAAAGAGAATGTAAAGCACCAATAGCAATGAACCAGCATGCTAGAAATAGTGACATCACCCTTGTCATTTAACACAGACTACAGCGAAATAGAGGGTGCCTGCTTAAAAGCCGTCCAGGTATATATTTACAATAGCATCCATTTGGCAGGAAAATATGTTCGCATAGTTGTCTGTGGGCATCATCTGTTCCGAGAAGCGCACAGTGAGTTTTGAGGTACAGATAATATCAAAGGACAAATATCCAAGCATAATTATTTTTGCATCAAATGGAGGCTATTAAGTTAATTATCCTTCAAAAATTTTTTTGCAGTACGACAGTAAACTTTTGAAAATTTAAGGTGGCTCTGAACCCCATATACAGAATTTTTTAAACTTTGCCAAACATCGTATCTTATCATGCACATCAAAATTTTTATAATATAAAAAAATTCAGAGCCGTTTTTTAATTATAAGCCCCTAAAGCTGTAATTAAGGGTGCTTTTCACAGGTCATACTGTTGCTTTGGTAACCTATTGTGTCAAGAAAATGATAAGAACATGTTCACCAATGATTGGGCAGTTTTTTGATACAATGATTGTGATATCAAGTGATAAAGAGTGGCTAAAACAATGCATTAGAATCTAAGTGCTCAAAACTGTTTTGAGCCTTCTTAATACAGGTTTCACTACTATACATAGCAGTTTTGAAGTTATAAACGTAATACGGGTTATTGACCAAGTGTGAGGCCAAGATGGGTGGACATTGGCAAAATTCTTTTTGTACATGTTTATGGACCGAGACAGAGTCAAGGCCTATAAACTTGTAACTAAAGAACAAGGCCAATATCCAGCCATCTTGACTGAACAAGCTTGGTCAATAAAGGATTTATTATATGCTTTTTGGGAATTTTTTCTTGTGGGACACAGTGGGTGGCCAATCACAGCTCATGGAGCTAGCCATATAATAACAGCAATTAAAATATCAGTGACTCAATCGTGAGACAATCAAATAAACGTTCATCTATTGCTATCTACAGGTTGTTTCACACTTACCACCTCTGGTACTTGTATGTTTATCAATCAATTTTACATACTCTTCTTCATCAATCTGTACATACTCAGAATACATCGTTGCATTTTCATGACTCAAAAAATTAGAGAAACCAGGCTGGGTTATAATTGGCTTATTGTCTATAACAGAACTCTTTGGAGATGTGCTTCTGTAATGTCCTTCTTCAAATTCTAATTTTGTCGCAATGCCTGTCCTGTCTTCATCCTGCATGACAACGTCATTATGTCCATCACTATCTCTGTTACCAGTTTGTCTTGAACTCTCCACTTCATTTAAAAGCTGCCGCTGTTGCTCAATGAACACAGTAGGATCAGTTTGGCTGGATTCCCCAGCAGCCTTAATGACATCAGCTGAGTCAACTAAGCTTCTTCTTCTCACTCGTTTTGAAGATGCCTCACCTGAGGAAAATATAGGTGCATTCACATATATTACAAGGCTGGAGAGTAAAGGTAGCCAACTACAGTGTGGTCACAGACCACCGGTCTCCATTTAAAGTTAAGATTTGGCTTGAAGGTTTTATCTTTCTACTAGCTAGCCTCTTGGCATTTGTGATTCAAAATGTAAATTAAAGCAAACCACAGTGGGAATGACAAAGGGTAATCAACATCTCAAACTTAATTGATTTTTAAACTTCAGCTGACCAATACCAACAGCTCTGGGAATTTCAATTGTGGATCTTATAAGCTGTGGTGAGGCATGCAAAAAAAATACTGTTATTAGGACCTGACTAGATGAGTAGAAAATATTGCATGCTGGTTAAAAATTGTTTTAGCTTAGTAAAATATATCATGTCACCAGCCAATATGTTGGTGTGTTACACAGTTGGTTGCAAGTCACATGTTTCGCAAAATGTGCTATAGACTTGTTTTTACACTTAAATAAGCAGTTTCTCCCTGCAGAAGCGTTTTTTTGACAGTTCAAACAGACCAGAATACCATTAAGAATTATTTTTACGTAAATCATTATTTCAACAGTTTTCACAAATTGTTATAGTTTCATGGTCATGAGTGCTGGTAATTAGAAAACGTAATAGGATAACTAACATAACACCTTGTTAGAGACACTCCCTACACCACCATCATCATCATCATCATCATTATTATTATATAATTTACATGTATATCTATCTCAAAACAACTTTATACACTGCATGTGTGTTTACAGAGGGAGGATACTGTTTATAGCATCTTCTAGGGGTGGGATCTCTCTTGGGATCCACGTACATGTGCACGTAAAAGATCCTGCAAATTAGGCAATCCTACATGATCTTACATAGGTACAGGATCCTGTTCAGATTTACACGTAGTAAGATATCCTGTACATCTTGTAAGTTATCCCACATCCCATACAGGATCTTACATGAGAACTTCCATAAGATCTCTAGTTAACTTTAATAGGATTTTGCCAGGATTCTACTGGACCCTAACAGGACTCTACCAGTAGAATTTCTACTGTGGCAAACAAAACCAGACTGAGTGAAATACAATCAACATGTAAAGTCGTTGGTCATATGATCTCAGGTATTCTCGCTTATAGCACTTACAGTATACTACATGATTTTCACACATTGAGGTACAAAACACTTATGAAACAGCCTTTTGGGGCAGAAACACCAACATGCAAATGCATACTTTACCTGAGGTGTCACCAGAATAACTCATTGATCTTGCTAGCATTTCATCACTGCGAATTTGCTCTTTCTCCAAAGTCATCCAGCCTGTAATATTCTTAGGGTGTCCAACAAGGAAGTCGTTTTCAGGTATAACACTTTCAATGGGGCAAAAGAGGGCAAAATTTTTTCTACAGACAAATAGTTGTTTTCCATGTAGTTTTCCAGTTCCACTTCCATCCATTGTATCCTACACACATTAAAATGCATACATGTACATGTAATATGTGTATTTTACTAATCAAGTGCAAGGGCAGCAATGGGAGAAATTGATCCTAGGTCTTGACAGTATGGATCAAGCATAGCAGCACGTGTACAAAAAAAAAAAGCCTGAGGGCCTATATTCTCCCAGTACTGTCCAAAGCAAGTTTAGTGAATAACAAATTTTTCTATCAGTGAAAAAGAGCTGTAGAAATTTTGACTAATCCACTACTAAATATAATCCACTACTAAACTAATTATTGGCCCGACATAATAGAAGTACAGCTGTAACTGTCTTGGCACATGTAGTAATGTTGTGCAGTTTTAGATGTGCTCTTGAATGTCAATGGGCCCACAGGGCAAGCCAAAAATTTACGCAAACAATGAGTAGGTAACAGCATGCAAAGAAATGTTTCTGATAACTCAAGGATAGTGAATTTTGCAATTATGTCACTCAGCAGATTCTGTATTTCTCTGTGTAGTTTGTATTAATTTACACTTTAAATCATTAAATAATCATGCTAGTAAGACATTTTTTGGGGTGTGAGGATTACTTTTGGGCTAATACACAAGTTACAGTTTGCCAAGAACAGAGGCAAGTTTGAAAATTGGTTTTCGTTGCACCCTGGAGTATTATGCAACATGTATAATGCTACAAAGTCACTTGACTGTCTTATAAGATAATGCAATTATCTAACTAGCAGCTAATTTTCAACGGTCCAAAAACTGAGGAATGGAAGCAGTCATAATTTTCATGGCAACTAACTCTACAAAAACTGAGACGAAAATTAACCAAGGTGTGGAGATTTGTGATCTGCCATGTATTGGGATTTATAATGGATAATGATTATGTCTATGTTCCATCATATTCAACAGAGTGGACAGCTCAGATCATCAAATATGAGAATTTCTTAAAAGAACTCGTCTTCTAAAGATCTAAACCTGGATAAACAGCGAATAATGTTCTTTGTAATATGTTCTTGCGTGAAGTATCTAATCGGCTACTTGCAACCCACCCCGCCTTACTTACTCAGCTTCCTATTCCTGAAGGTTTTGGAATCTCAAGGAATCTGTCAGACTATCACTGCAGCTGTGCAAGATTCTCATACAATTTGTGATATTTAGGATCTTTTCTGGACACCTTCAATCTGTTTTTACATTGCCTATGGCTACTGTGTTTGCTTTCTAACATTATTTATTTTAAGCTAATGGGCCAACAGCTTTTACTTTTCCATCCAATCTTCTGGTCTAGAATACAACACGCCCATACCTTCTACTAGACTGAAATTTTTGTCTGAGTCATGTAGGGGGTCTCTAGTGATGTAAGCTATTTTTAGCAACTGTGCATGACACTACTGATCAGATTTAGTTGATGCATGGATGTAACAAAATATTGATGGCATTTTACAGTGTCTGTCATAGAGCTTGCATGTATTTACCGGTACATGCTTAAACTAATATGTAGTACATTTATGTCAAAGTAAACCATTGAGGCCAGCTTCATTGGCTTCATAAAAATTCTTGGGTTTCTTCAAACTTATTCTTGCATCAGGCCAAAATAATAACCTTGTCTGCAGATTTTTGCTATTGTTGCTAATATATTTATAGCAGAGCCCCATACCCATATAGGAAAGAAAAGGAAACCCATGAATTGATTTTCTCATGGTTATCATGGTTAGCGATATTGCTCATGGGCACGTACACACGGCAATGGCAGAGTCGCCTGAGATGGTAGTGATACTCCAGTTAATAAGTTGACAACTGTCAGACATGCAGCCTTGGTTTTTAGTGTCCTTCTTTGACATTGGACATCCATGTTACGGTCAATTGACACCTGTCAAAACAAGGCATCTGCTGACCAGTATCACATGACCATATCACAGGCTCAAGTTTAGAGCTAATCAAGGTCAAGTGTTTTTTCAAGTTGACCACTGACCAAAGGCTGGTTTTTGTTTGGATCGCAGGCTTGTGGCAGGTTAACTTGTTGTAAACAGGGCCAGGTTGTTTGGGAGTTGGTTAATGCTAACCCAGGATTAAAAGTTAACTGAATTATAAATTTTTCTTGTATACAAATGTTTTTGACTCCTTATGTTTTGTGTATTTTGAGATTGTTCTAACTTAAAACAGAAGGCCAAACAATACACAGAACTCAAATCAAAATTCTCGCTTATCCTGGGTTAGCTTAATCAGGCTCTGAACAAACTGGCCCAGGAGCTCTGCTTTAAGGCTTGCCTTAATCTATATATTAGACCACAGGTCCTAGCTTTATCTAGATCATATGTTCTCTATAAAAATTATGGTGTGCATAATGTAGCATTGATGTACGTAGATGTGGTAATTTATGTCCGGAGCGAGGCTCCCATATAAAACGGACAGGGGTGCTCATAAGAAATTTTGAAAAGAATCCCAAAGAGGTACCAAGATCTGGTTCTGTGGGCATGGTTTGAAATGTTTTTTCACCCCGTAAGAGGAATCAATTCTAACACAACACATTATCTTCTGTCATATATTTTTTGGGTCAACACCCTAAAAGGCACTGACAGTAAAAGCTCCCACTGTGGACCTTCTAAGGCTGAACACTCTAAGAGGTTTCTGACCCCTAAAAAGTATGACAAACACCCCTGTCCTTTTCATATGGAAGTCCCCCATGGGAGTTTATGTTGCCTGCGAACAACTCTATCAACAATACCATGTACCTTAATTTTCAACACCAAACATTTTAAGAAATTATTTAGCAGGGCTGTCATTAAATTTTAATTCAGCTGTAGCCTTGATCTCCACACCCACAGCAAACTTGTTACTTAAGGGGTGAATTGTCTCAACTACAGGCGAGTTCACCTGTAACATCAAGGGTCCATCAAACAGGTAACGGGTTACAGCTCTTATTGACAGCCCTGATTAGTATAATAATAATTATTACATAACGTTGGCTGTTGATTCTTGTTCATTATACTTCTGTGCCAGCTTTACTTGTAGATGGAAAGCTTTGCATACATGTACACAGTACAAATTTTGAATTACTGTATTTCACCAGTAATCAATATTTTACCACATAATTAACTTTGTTATCAATTTCTTTCAAGATCAAAGAATTGCTGAGATGTAAAAAACAGTTCTCACTGGTCACTACAGATGATGAAGATAAAACAATATTATTATATAACTGTTAACTGAAAAATACACGTACATAAAAATTACCTACCAGTTCCAAACCCACAAGTGTCAATAGATATCCACTGCGATCTTTGTGCTCACCAATATACCGCACACGTCCCTTTATAGCACGATTATCATCCAAGAATGCCACAACTCTTTGATCCATTTCAATATCCTTTCTTCCTTGCAATGACTTCTGCTCACTTTTCCCCTTCAAGAATGGTGTCAGGACTGTATCCTTTAGTCGAGCTATGTTGTTTTTTGGTGGAGACCTAGACTCTGGATCTTCTCGAGGCATTATTTTGTCTAGTCCAACAAAAACACCACTGTCTTGGGGACAAGTAAAATATCTTTTGTTTCTAAATGTCCCATCAGATGTTCCTAGGCCTTGGTTGTTCTAGAAAAAAGATGTTGATAAATTAAATAAAAGGTTGCAATGATGTTTGCTGGTTACTACAATTTGAATAGGATCCCTGTAAGATGGGAATTATATTTACAATGTACAGATAAATATCTTTCTTCTTTGTTAATTACACAGTCACTATTTCATTACGTCAACGACTTCAATCTGCTATAAAGTAAGGTAAAAAGTTAAAGTCTGCATCAGGCCAGTAGCCCATATAGCCCGGTCAATGATGCAGTCTGAGTCAACAATCATGCATATATGTAGGAATCGAGTCAACTACCACACATAGAAATCAAAAGCAAGTAATCTTATTGTTTTAATTAGTATAAATCTACTAGTCATTCAAAACGTCATCTAAATCCTCTTCACAGAGGTTTTGAAAACGCAAAGACGGGGTTGCCAGTTCAATAACAAGCACGCAGAGTTTTGTTCTGTGGGAGGTGCGGTTCAACTGAATTTTAAAGAAAAGTGCATTAGTGAGAGACTGGGACCTGATATTACATCAAGATCAAATTTGATGAGATAACTGTGCTACACACTGTTAACTTGGCGCTAAATGTATATCACTGTGGGTTCCTTCTAAATCAGCCCCTCTCTCAGAGGAAAGAGTGGTGCAATAGTGTGCAAGAACAATATCGTCCTCACTATCACTTTCCATGGCTGAACTGCTGGCAGCACCTAGTGGTGCTGAGTGCACTGGTGGGTCTTGGTTAGTTGAGGCCATGAGCTCATCAGTGACAAAACTGTTTAATAATGTAAGTGTCACCATCATGAAATTTAGCCTTTACTTAAGAGTTTTCCTCGGTTTTCCTGTCCTTTTCCTGTCTTCAAATTTTAATCAGGGTTTCAATCATAGGTTACGTTAGATTAGAATACAAGTCTTGGCACTTCATACACCAAGTGCAAATATGGCGGACCCACTCAGTCGTCGCCCGGGACAAGTTGCATGAAAGAGAGGCTAGTCAGGCTTTGATGCTCTGTTTTGACATTGCTTCCCCAGAAAACTTGTGCTTTTGTTTCCTGTTTCTATGAGTTGTTGTGTTTCTGAATGCCACAAGAAGGGATAGAAAGCTTCCACCATTCGTCTCTTAGGGAAAATAGTGGATCGATGCTATTCGTTGAGATGAAAGAAAGGAGTTCATGATTAGTGTGGGAACTAAAGTTTGTTCGCTACATTTCAGGTAAGAAGATCTTAGAAAAATCATTCAAATGACGAGCTTATGTGGTGTCTGGTGGTGTTCCAACATGATTTGCATGGCCAGTACCTTCCCAAGGTAAAGAAAAGCTCTTCTTGAAAGACATCCTCTGTGTCAAAAGAAGAAGTTGTTTACGTCCACGTCCACTTGCACAGAATCCCAAGAAACAAATACTACGGTGTAATAGCCAGGTGACTGAACTTCAACTGCCCCTGTTGTTGAAACCAATGAAAGCATAGAGCCAAATGACAAAAACTTGGAGCTAAATGTGATTGCTTAATACACATTTTCTAAGATCTTCTGGCCTGAAATGTAACAAACAAACTTAAACAGTTCTTTTGGCGATAGTGAACTCCTTTCCTTTGTCTGCTTTACCCTCAGAGGGGAACAGGGAAACTGAAAAAAAAAGCACTTTCTCTGCTGTGGAAGATTTCACTCCCTTCTGGTGGCATTCAGGAACTTAGAAACTCATAGTGAGGGCGAAACAAAACAGACCAGATCAACGACAGAGCAAGACTTTTCTGGGGAAGCACCGTCAAAACAAAACATCAAAGCCTGACTAGCCTCGCTTTCATGCAACTCATCCCGGACACTGCCTGAGTGGTCTGCCATATCTATCTTCGGTGTATGTTAATCAGTCATGCAGAAAAATGATACAACTTCCATTTTCGAAGTAAACTTCGAAGAAGCACGTAGAAGATAATTTTCTTGCCCAGTGCTTTAAAAATGATTTCCAAAGAGACACTCTGTAATGTAAACAGTGCAGTAGCTCCAGAAAAACAAAATTTTTTTTTTCACTTAAGGTGGCTCTCTAGTAAGTAAGTAAGTAAACTTTATTTGATAAGTAGGTTGTAGAGGGGATTTGGCAGCCGAAGGGCTGATGTGGACCTACTGTACACAAAATATAAAATTTTACAAACACGAAAGATATTAACAAAAGAATAAGAACTATGTACAGGGGAAAATTAATAATCATATATACATATTTAATCAACAATGATTTAGATAAACATATACAGGCAAAAACTAATGATAGACAAATCATACTTTGACATATCATGGAAATGACATTGCCTGACATTTTGAATTGGTAAAATGTCAAGGTTGTGCCGACGGTTTTTTCCAGTACTCTGTAATTTGTCGTTCTTCTAAAGAGATGAGATTAGCTCTGACAGATTTTAACAAAAATAAGGTATTTTACAGGAATTTTATGTGGTTGCAACTGAGCCAAATTTTAAAAAAAATTCACCATAGGAAACGCGAGAAAATTGACTGTCAGTTTTGCTTTTTGTGCTCATGTTGACCCCATAAAAATCAAAACACACTGACATTTTCCTTTGAGCATGCGCAGATTACTTGAGCTTTTGTCCTATGCACACGTGCAATCATAAAACTATAGGGAGCCACCTTAAGCCATTGGATTTTAAATTTCAGATTTAGATGGTGCATTGGCTTTGCAATCATGGGACTGAGATTAAAAAACAGCTTTCACAGTGTGATGCAAAGCTTAAAATAAATTTTAAAAAATTATCATGAAGCAAGGGGATCACTTCTCTTAGATAATCCTCCTATTAACCTCAACTTCAATCTCTCAAGTCTCAAATCACTTTTGAACTTCAATACAACATGGTCAGCGGGGTGTAAATAACAGGAAACGAAAAAAGCAAGGAGATAAAGAAGGAGCGAAGAAATACAAATTGTCCTGTTACCCACAACTCCGAAAATAGCTTACAATATTCCGAGTTAAATAAATACATAAAAGGAAGCAAGTCTTGTCCTAAAATGCTACTTAGAAATTTTGCTTGATCATAAGAATGCATCAACTGCATGAAGAGTATCAGCAGGGTAGGTATGAGAAAGCTGGTATACTTACTATCAGTTCAACTCCAAACATCGTTCCATTGTTCGATGGTAATTCACCCTTGTACCACACAACACCCGGCAATTGCTTAGAAACACCTTTCACAGAAACATAAACTTTACGTCCCAGTATTATTCTACGCCCGAAATCGAGGCGAATTCTGTCCATAAAAGTTTGATATCTCTCTTCGAGCGATGAAATAGCCAAAAGTAAGTTAGCGTCTTCGTCAGAGAGCCTCGTCAGATACTCCAAAGTACATTCAAGAAACAAAGACTTACGATCAATTCCGACCAGAGCTATTTTAGTTGAATCCTGAGGTTGTTCAGTTTCGGGCAGAGCTTCCAGTAAGTCGCCTCGCAGTACTTGTGTTGGTGTTGACTTCGTGGAAAGGCCAAGGGCAAAAACGTTTCTTTCTACTGTCTGCCCAACACGATCCTGAAGAAGTATATACTTCGTTCTTTGGTCCCCCATACTGTACTGTGTATTTTGCAGCTAACACGTTTGCTCCTGTCTATTATGTTATGACTTTATCAAACCTTCGTCGTCCATGTTGAAAGGAAGTGGTGGGAAATTCCCTGCCTCACTTTCATGCCTCAATTCCCGGAAATAGTGACATCATGCGCTATTTTTAAAAAAACAACGTTCCAGTTTGATCGATCATATGCCTCGTCACGCGCGTTTCAGTGCCGTGCTCTATATTTACCAGTGAACGATGTTTGACATAAAATAACCTTTGCGTAGTACAGCCATATATGAAATTCCTCTTTTCATAAAAATAAACAAAGCTTCTTAAACTGACAATAATGACTCTGACAGTTAACTTTCACAAAGATCTTTTCTCCAGACTTCATACTCGAAACAGAAAGGTTATTATTATTCAAAAAAACTCTTTACTAACGCAGTAACACAGTGTTGACAGATATAAGCCAACCTTAACGTGACACCGTTGCGTGACGTACGTAAGCCCAAACGATCGAGATTAACACTTTCCTCGACAAAGAAATGAACCAGTAATTTCTACACACAGTGTGATATATTAGCTGTGACTAGTTGGAGCGCGAGTTACATGTACAGGGCGCTTACAAAAAAAGTTTGAAACTCAGGCAAACGGCAACCTCGTTCCCAGGGTCTTTCATCTTCCCTCACTTCCCGAGAGGGCGGGAAAATGAGAGACCCTGGGAAACTTGTTGGGCAAACGATACGAAAAGCTTCCTTGGATTGTTTCCGGAAAATCTTAAACTTCGGATTTTCCGTTAAAAAGGTCACTCAAAAGTTGCTTGTCATTAAAACAATTAACAATACTTAGTTAGCAAATTTATTCGTAACCGTAAGTCTTGGGATCTGCGCGCACCTATGATATGGGACAATTTGGCTATTTTTAGAACAAATTGCGCCACCCTGACGACATATATCCGCGCGGATCCACGCACATGTCGTGAGTTCTCGCGTGGATGTTGTCATGTTGCATGATCAAATGGCGAAATTTGCGAGATTCTCTTGCGGATTTTTCACAGCGATGGCAGGGAATAAGGTAAGGACTAAGAACCAGGGTGCTATATGTTGTTTTATGCTCTGAGCTAATAAAAAAGGTGAATTTTTCAGGGTCGAAAACAAGACTTCAATTTCGCGCTGTGAATGAGTAGTATCTGCTCCCCCTAGTTGTACGAGTAAGCTTTCGCGTTTGCTCTGTAAAGAAAAGTTATGCAACAAAACTCTCTATTCTGGTATCGAGTTAATTTGTGGGTTTCGAAATAATGCTTAATTATAACCAAAACCTGTTTTTGATGTTTCAAGTTATTGTTTCTGCTCGTTTGACGAGTTTGCAAAAGTTTTTGATATATAGTCTGACGCGTGCAAGTATCTCATTTGCATAGTGCAGCGCGCGCACTTTCAAGTCCGAGTCGGTATTTTCAGTGGGCCCTTTGCACGATCCGGTCACATGGTACAATGCTGGGACGCAAGTTGCACAGTGGGACTTCCAAAACAAAGTAACTCGTACCAGTCCACCT